GACCTTGCCTCAGAACTTACAAAATCTCTGGTATGTGCAAAACAAAATCTCTGGTACGTGCAGAAAACCAGGTACTCACAGAACTTACGAAATCTCTGGTATGTGCAAAGATTAGAGAGTAGAACAAGGGTGTAGCAGGTGGGGGGCAGGTACACATCTATCTTTGTGTCCTTTCATCTGCTGCATGCAGTAACTTGCTTTTGTTTGACATAGCAGCTTAAGTGACACCATTAGCTGGTGGTATGCTCCTTTGTGAGGGTTTGGGGAGTCTGGTGGGGTGGGGGGCGTTCTATCTATGTGGATAACTCTGACAACTGATTCTGACCATATCCTCTCTCATCTCTAGGCTCATGATCTCCATCTGCCCAGTGTTCATCTGCAATCTCTGGCTGTCACCTCAGTCTCAATTTGATTAAAACTAAATTCATTCTCAATCCCATATTCGGTTTCCTGCCAGGATATGTCTGTCTCTGTCTATTTAATTGTCCAGGCTTGAACCTTTGTAGATAATTTCGACACCCTCCCCCTCAGCCTTTTTCTATTGCTGCTGCTTTTGTAATGCTTTTGATGTTTTTTCTCCTGATCTTTATGCTTTGCATTACTTCAGTGGTCTACTAGTCAGTTTCTGAAATTATAGTCTCTATTTCTTGTGTATGTGATATGATGAAGAATCTATTATATCTGGCCTTTGTCTTTGGTTCCTGACAATGAGCTTCAAAAAATCTTGGAATTTCCTTATAGATGTATCTTTTGTTATTCATAACAAGAGTCTCTTTTGACCACACCTGAGTTTATCCCGATAAGGTGACTGTGGGTGGGCCCTTAGATAGTTCAGGAAAGGAGCTGTCCACATCAGAGAGACCTTGGTTTCTGGGGAGGGGACAGTGACTGGATAGCAAAGCCCAGTCATCTGGCTAGTGATTTAATCACTCATGCCTGGGTCATCAAACCCCACATAAAAACCCTGGAATAGCAGTGAACGTGCTGGTTTGCTAGGAGGATGACACCTGGATTTCTTCAGGAGAGAGCAGGGAAGCTTTGCGTCCCGCTGCCCTCTTTCCTAGACCTTGCCCATGTTCTGTGCACCTCTTCCATTGGGCTGTTCCTGAGTTGTAGCCTTTGTAATGAAACTGTGATTGTTTAAGAATAGTGCTTTCAGTGATTTCTGTGAGAATTGTTGAAACTGAAGGGAAGTTTTGGGAATCTCTGAATTCGTAGCCAAGTTGGACATTAGTGTGGATAGCCTGGGGGGGACGTCTGAAGTGAGGGCAGTCTTGTTGGAAACCTTGCTCTTTAACTTGTGGGATCTGATAGTAACTCCAGGTAGTATCAGAATTGAATTGAATTGTAGAACACCTAGTTGGTGTCAGAGAATTGGTCTCAGAGTGCAGTGTGCTTACCCTTTGACAGGCATTGTGGTGTGTGTGCTGTGTGCATTATTTCATGTAATGCCCACCATGGTTGGGTAAGACCTAGGATTTTAAAAATTTGTTTCTAGTTTTTGGTGTTTTTGTTGTTGTTGTTTTGTTTGTTTTTTGAGACGGAGTCTCACTATGTTGCCCCCACTTGTCTTGAACTCCTAGGCTCAAGCAGTCCTTCTGCCTCAGCCTCCTGAGTGGCTGAGACTACAGGTGTGTGGCCCAGGTCTGGTTTTATCATCTTTGTTTTACTGGTAAGGAAAGGAAAGCCATAACTTTCCCAGTGTCACAGAGCAAGGAAGTGTTGGCAAAGTCAGTGCTTTCTGACTTTAAAGCCCTTTACTTAACCCTTTATGTTAGGCCAACTATCTTCCTTGCTGTAGACATTATTACCCTCCTCTCATCTGGCTGCGGTGAACCACTTTTTCTAAATTGAACTTTTATCACATCATTTTTGAACTCAGAACTTTACTCTCCATTACTGTAGGATAAAACCCATGATTTGCAGGCAGCCATTCAAGGCCCACTGGAGTACCATAGGCTCAAATTAATGCTGTCCCAGTCTTTATATACAACAAAAGGAAACAAACACCTATTGTGTTTCTTGGATGGGCCACTCAGTTTTTATCTCCAGCAAGTTGCACTGGAGATGAAACTGTGTCTTCTAGTTACTTGTAAAGTATAATTGGAAAGTTAGAGTATATGAAAAGAATGTCTGTGTAAAAATAACGCATGCTGACCAAGTCAGTAGTATAGGCGATAAGATGCTTCTGGAGTTCAAAAGAGGCACAGCTTCACTAAACAGGTGTATCTTGAGCTTAGCATTGAAGAGATGGTAGGATTTTGAGAATTGTGACTGAGGGTAGGCCCCTTCTGCTCAGGAAGACCAGGAGTGAACTGGAAAGACAGTGCTGATGACAGTGAATACTTAAGTTTACCTGGGGGAAACTTCTGACACCAGGGTCTATTCCTTGTCCCCAGACAAGTTGAAAGTTGCAGCATAGTGTTTTAACTGACGGAGCTTGTGCTAATCTTTGTCTTTTGAAGCTAGAGTTGTTTAGAATGAACCAAAATCTATTTCAGGGCTAGCCTATGTGATGAGGTTGGATGATTATGTTAGTTAATACTAATTTTAAGAATTACCTTTTTTTCTGTTACCTGAGTTGATCAAAGGAAATTTTAAACTATAAAAGTTCAAAAATATTTTTGGTAGTGGAACATGAGAATAAACATATTCAAGGTAACCAGTCTGAATGAGGGATCATTCTTCAGCATAGATAAGATTTGGTAAATAGATAGTTTTAAAAAGTCTTCTTTGTACATGAACTCACATCATTATACCCAATCTCTTGGTATTTTTTAGGGTTAGAATCTCTCCTGACCATAGTGCTAGCTACTTGGGAGGCTGAGGCAGGAGGATTGCTTTAGTTGCTCAATAGTTCAACACCAGTTTGGGCAACATAGCAAGATCCTCTCTCTTAATAAAGAAAGTTAACTTGAATGCTATATAAGTAATATTTATACATTTTGGAAAATAAAAAAATATATAAAGAACAGATCAGAATTACATTACTCAGAGATAGTTGATAACTGTTTATTTTATAGTGCTACTTTTATTTATGTTATTACCTATAAAATTTTGTAGCCTACTTTTCTCACTTTATATTATTAGGATTTTTCTATGTCATAAGATTTTTCAAAAACATGGTTTCTATTAATACATAAATATATTATTGTACATAGAGATTTCTTTTTGTTTTCTCCTTTAATTAAAAACAGAGTCATTTATTATTTTGTAAGTTGCTTTCTTCATTTCACGTGTCATGTCTGCCTTTCTGAATGACTGCTTATGTTAATGTCTAGTCAGCCCTCTGTATCCACAGGTTTTACATTCGTAGATTCAACCAACATGGATCAAAAATATTTGAAAAAGAATTGTCTCAACTGAACATGTACAGACTTTTTTCTTGTCATTGTTCTCTAAACAATATAACTATTTATATAGCAGTTACATTGTATTAGATATTATGAGTAATTTAGAGAAAAGTATGTTGGATGATATGAGCAGGCTATATGCAAATATATCATTTTATATGAGGAACTTGTGCATTTGTTGATTTTGATGTCCTCAAGAGGCCCTGGAACAGATCCCCCATGGATGTTGAGACGATTGTGCTTCACTTTTTAAAAACTGGTTGCATAATATTCCAGTTATATGGCTATGCCATAATTTAACCATTTCTCTGTTGATGGACATTTATACTATTTCTAATTTTCACATACAAATAGTGCCTCCATGAGCATTTTTATCTTATATTTTCTTACTTATATGAGTACTTTTGTAGGATAGAAGTTTAGAATGAAAATATTGGGTAAAAATGTACATGCATTTTATAATTTGCCAGCCATGCTGAATTTGTCTTTTAAAAGGGCTCTATCAGTTGATTCTCTTAGCAATTTATGTTTGAGGCCTTATTTTCCTATACCCTCGCTTTGCTGGATACTATCATTGTCAAATATGAAAAAGTAATTGGAAACATGGTATCGTGTTACATTAGTCTGATTTCTTTGCCTATTTTTAGTGTTCCTTTTTGTATGTGACTCTTGATTCTTGGCTCATTTTCCTATTGTAATTCTATAATGTTTTCATATTTTACATGTAACTCTTAATTCATCTGGAATTTATTTTGATTTTATGGAATGAAACTGCTTGATTCTGGAGGAGATTCAAGGGCTAGTGGGTCTTGAAATTGTGTGTCT